TATATATATATATAGGGCAGCACGGTGGCGCAACTGGTAGAGCTGCTGCCTCTCAGCGAGCAGGTCCCTGGTTCAAACCCCGGTCCAAGGGCTTTTCTGGGTGGAGTTTGCATGTTCTCTCCGTGCATGCGTGGGTTTTCTCCGGGTGCTCCGGTTTCCTCCCACAGACCAAAAACATGAAGGTTAGACTGATTGGTAACTCTAAATTGTCCCTAGGTGTGAGTGAGAGAGTGAATGGTTGTTTGCCTTGTTTGTCTCTATGTGACCCTGTGATGGACTTGCGACCCGTCCAGGGTGTACCTCGCACAGTGATTGCTGGACATGGGCACCGGCGACCCCTGTGACCCAAAATGGAACAAACGGGTAAAGATAATAGATGGATGGATATATATATATATATATTCTTCCGATCATCTATTTATATTTCTATATATATATATATATATATATTTTGCCAATGGCAAAATTGGCTCTCTGCATTTCACCCATCCACCACCAGGTGGAGCAGTGGGCAGCTTTGGAAAGTGCCTGGGGAGCAACTGGGGACAAGGTGTCCTGCTCAGAGACATCATGAGATGCGCAATGACCGGGGATCAAACCTGGGACCTTCGGGTCCCGAGTCGGCTGCCCTGCTCCTAAAACACCAAAAGCCACAGCACATATCCACTGAATGAGACGAAAACTTTCATATACCAGTATATGTGGCTAAAAAAATACAGAAAAAGATTAAAAAAATTTAATGCTGAATCAGCATTTCCATTAAAATGAGAAGGGAGTTTAAAAACTGCAAAAAAGTAGTTTTCACATACCAAAGAATTATCTCTAAACGTTATAATCATAAAACATAAGACTCAAAAGAAAATAATTGATAGAAAAAGAAAGGATTTAATTTGAGGGCTGTAAAAAAATTAAAATTTCTGAAAATAATAATCACAGAATAAGTAGCTTAATGAAAACTGCTATTTTTTTTGGAGACATTTTGTAAATTTTAACTGAAAGTGCATTTTTTTTTATTTTAGTTTGTGTGATATAATTTTAGTTTTAGTTCATATTTTATTCCTTAAACCAAACCAGGAACTATCCTGAGAGTTTAGACTTTTCATGATTAAATAGAAGACATTTTAAACACTTATATTTATAAAAAATTCAAAAGCAAAATCATCCTTTTAGGTTGGACTGGAGTGAAAAACCTAAAATTGTCTTTCTGAGGGAGTGAGCAGTGAAACATCAAACAGAACCAGAAGTAAAAATAGGAAATCGACCTCCTGGTATCATTTACTTTTGTTTATGGGGACAGTTTTTATGTCCAAACAGGAAATATGCAACAAATTAAATATGTCAAGTACTCGCTCATTCAAAGAAATACAGTGCCTTGCGAAAGTATTCAACCCCCTTGAACTTTTCAACTTTTTGCCACATTTCAGGCTTCAAACATAAAGATATAAAATTTAAATTTTTTGTGAGGAATCAACAACAAGTGGGACACAATCAAGAAGTGGAATGAAATTTATTGGATGTGTCAAACTTTTTTTAACAAAAAACTGAAAAGTGAGGCGTGCAATATTATTCGGCCCCCTTGCGTTAATATTTTGTAGCGCCGCCTTTTGCTGCAGTTCCAGCTGCAAGTCTCTTGGGGTTTGTCTCTATCAGTTTTACACATGGAGAGACTGAAATTCTGCCTATTCTTCCTGCAAAACAGCTCGAGCTAAGTGAGGTTGATGGAGAGCGTTTGTGAACAGCAGTCTTCAGCTCTTTCCACAGATTCTCGATTGGATTCAGGTCTGGACTTTGACTTGGCCATTCCAACACCTGGATACATTTATTTGTGAACCATTCCATTGTAGATCTGGTTTTATGTTTTGGATCATTGTCTTGTTGGAAGATAAATCTCCGTCCCAGTCTCAGGTCTCTTGAAGACTCAAACAGGTTTCTTCCAGAATGGTCCTGTATTTGGCCCCATCCATCTTCCCATCAATTCTGACCATCTTCCCTGTCCCTGCTGACGAAAAGCAGACCCAAACCATGATGCTGCCACCACCATGTTTGACAGTGGGGATGGTGTGTTCAGGGTGTTGAGCTGTGTTGCTTTTATGCCAAACATATTGTTTTGCATTGTGGCCAAACAGTTTGATTTTGGTTTCATCTGACCAGAGCACCTTCTTCCACATGTTTGGTGTGTCTCCCAGGTGCTTGTGACAAACTTTAAACAACACTTTTTATGGATATCTTTGAGAAATGGCTTTCTTCTTGCCACTCTTCCATAAAGGCCAGATTTGTGCAGTGTACGACTGATTGTTGTCCTATGGACAGACTCTCCTACCTCAGCTGTAGACGCCTTTATCCATTTAGTTGGCAGCTCAGAACACCACATACAGAACACCATGGACTTTGTGGATAAGGTGAGGGATGTCATCATGGAGACTGATGAAACAATGGTCTCTTTTGATGTCACATCCCTCTTTACGTGCATTCCTGTTGATGATGCAGTAGAGGTGGTCAGTTTAAGATTAAAATCAGACACCACTCTGAGCAGCAGGACCACGCTTTCCACAGAACAACTGTGTCAACTCTTGAAACTGTGCCTGCAGTCAACCTACTTCACATACGGGGAGCAATATTATAGGCAGAAACATGGGTGTGCTATGGGGTCTCCAGTTTCTCCTATTGTTGCCAACCTGTACATGGAGGAGGTAGAAAAGAGAGCCTTGATGTCCTTTTCAGGGACACCACCAAGTCATTGGTTCAGGTATGTTGACGACACCTGGGTTAAAATTAAATCTCAGGAAGGCCAACATTTTACTGACCACATCAACTCTGTGGATAAATACATCAAGTTCACACGAGAAGATGTAAAAAATGGCAAGTTGGCTTTCTTGGACTGTGAGGTCTCAGTCTCAGGTGTACCACAAACCCACCCACACAGACCAGTATTTGCAGTTTGACTCCCATCACCCTTTGGAGCACAAGTTAGGAGTCATCAGGACTCTGTATCACAGAGCAGACAGCATCCCCACTAGCTCAGGAGCCAGGCAGAAGGAGAAATCCTACACAAGACAGGCTCTAGAGCAATGTGGATATCCTAACTGGGCCTTCCTGAAAGCAGAGAGGAAACCCAAACAGGACTCCAGTCAGCCAACAGGTGAAAAGGAGGAACCCAGACCCAGACCAGCGGTCATTCCATATGTTGAGGGAGTATCAGAGAAACTGAGACGTTTATTTTCTAAACATAACGTCCCAGTGGCTTTTAAACCCCAAAATACATTATGGCAAAGACTGGTTCATCCCAAAGATCCAGTCCCCCGGCACAAACAGAGTAATGTTGTGTATGTTGTTCAGTGTCAGGAGGGCTGTGATCAGTCTTACATTGGGGAAACAAAACAGCCACTGGCCAAAAGGATGGACCAGCACAGAAGATCAACATCATCAGGCCAGGACTCTGCGGTCTACACTCATCTCCAGGCCAGCGGTCACTCTTTCAGGGATGAAGATGTTCACATCCTGGACAGAGAGGAACGATGGTTTGAGAGAGGAGTAAAGGAGGCCATCTTTGTGAAAAGAAATCGTCCATCATTAAACAGGGGTGGAGGCCTCCGGGTTCAACTGTCCCCCTCTCACAATGCTGTGATTGCTAGTATCACTCAGCCCTCTGTGAGTAGTAAACAGCCATCAGTGTGCTAATGATCCATTGTTAGGCTGATGGTCCTTCTTGAGCATGTGATCAGCTGGTTTTGGTTGTCAGCAGCAAAACTGGTTGATCCACTCTAAGAAGGTGCTATTTAAGAGAATGAGCTGAAAACAGCTCCTCAGACTGAAGAAGTCTCTTGGATGAGAGACGAAACGTTTCTAGATTTTTTTTGTTTTTTGAATGTCCAGAGGACCAGATTGAACTTTTTAGATCATTCTAAGAAACTTATATTATCGTCCGATTCTCTGTAAAAAAGTAAAACGGGTGAAAAAGCAACCAGAGTTTAAAGATAAAACAAACTGAAGATCTTCTGGTGTAAAAACAAACACAACTAACTAGGTTGGATACTTTTATTATTAGTTCCTCTCAGTTCAGACATCAGAGATGATCCACATCAGTTTAATAAAACCCAAACGACATTTATGAAGAACATGTGAGCAACGCTCCGAGTCGTTCAAACAATACTGGAGAAATCCATTTTCAGTTCAGTCCCTTAAAAATAAACTTTTAAGAAGCGTTAAGTATCTGAATGAGTTCCTCTTCTCTGGAATATTTGTGTTTTTAGATATTTGAGGCAACAATGATCTTAAAAAACAAAATAAAATGTACTATGGAGCTGCGTGGCGTTAGCTCCTGACAACTTGCAGGCACACGATGATGCATCACTTTAAGGCCCGTCTACATCAAGCCGTGTCAAAATGTGTTTTTGCTGTCCCATCCCACTGTCATGTCCCTTCGTCCCATCCCAATGTCTCGTCTCATCCCACCGTCATGTCCCTTTGTCCCAACCCATTGTCCTGTCCCATCCCAGTCATGTCCCTTCATCTTGTCCATCCCACTGTTGTGTCCCTTTGTCCCGTCCTATCCGTCACGTCCCTTCGTCTTGTCCCATCCCACTGTCGTGTTCCTTGTTCCGTCCCATCCCATTGTCACATTTCTTCCTGTTCCTTCATTACACCCTGTCGTGTCTTCGTCCCGTCATGTCCCACGAGCCATCAAAAGGACGAGAAACATGACAACCTGTGTATCAACACAAAACACCACAAACGTGACACTTTCCACTTTGCGGTTTAAACTCCACATTAAGGTGTTTTAACATTAACATAAATTATTGTAATAGTTTCTGGTTTTGATAAGAAGTCCTGGACCGAGTCTTTATTTTACAACTTGGCACTTTGTAAACTTTTATTCTTTACAAACGCGACTTCACGGCAGCGCTGGTCTCTGGTTCAGTGTGTTCTGGGAATGTTGCCATCAAGGCAGAAGAGCCTTTTTCAACATCTAGAAATGCCTTTACCCTTTTTTAAACGACATAATTACACTTAGAAAACACGCACAAACTTGTCTGTACACCTGATGCGACGCCCCGGGCCGAACCTCAGCTCAGACGAGGTAAAACATGAAACTTAAATATCACTTTAAATATTCTACAGTTAGATCAGTGGCTTGAACCAAACGCCTCCAAGCTGTCACATTTTCAAGATTGATTAGAAACGTTTTAGAAATAGCCCTTGAAAGGGTGAGCCTGCATTAACGTATCCACCTACACTCCCGTCAGAACTCTGGGTCCATGAACCCAGAACACAGGAGTGGTTTATCAGCACTGAGCAACACTTCACAGAAAAACGTTATTTTAATATTGGCATCCATTTTAGTGTAAATGATTTAAAAGAAGGCGCCTCTGTGACACCGGCCCTCGTTCTCAGCCACAGTGGGGGAGGAAAGACAAGAAATTAGTTGAAATTTTGGTCCTAGAAACGACAAAAGGAATCCAAAATCTAATTCTGGAACCTGAGCAAACTCTGCTTTGACAGTCCTGGATCAGATGATCTGCGACCCCGCTTTAAGACTCGGCTCGAGAAAAACTAAATTAGACCACGGAAAGCAAAAAGAAAAAAAGAAAGTGCACAAATTTCCAACAAGGTGCATTTTTGCATCAAAAATGAGGGATTTGGAGCCAGCTGTGCTTTAGGACGTGTGGCACTGAACGCCCCCGGTGCTGGCGTAGTCGTCTTCGTCCACGTAGTACTGATGTCTGCGCCGTCTTCTGCCTTCCAGGTCGCAGTCCTCCAGGTCGGCATAGATGTAGAGGTCCTCGTCCATGCTCTCCGGCTGCTCGGCACCCACCTTTCCTGGGAGGAAGCGCTCCAGCTCCTTCAGCTTGTTCTTGGGGAGAAAATTGGCTGGTGGGAACACCACCTACAGGAAGCAACCACGGCAGAGTTCAGACCAGCAGCACCTCGTTAGAGAACTGAACGGTGGGATTTGTTATTTGACAGTTCATGGAGGAAAAAGAAAAGAGACTATTGTAGAAGTTCTTACTGAAAAGTGGATGATGAGACGTCCCTTCTCAAACGGTCTGCGATATGTGGGCATGCCTTCACCTAACACACACTTGGTGTCTCCAGGCTTGACTAACTCCCCTAACGTACAAATTAAAAGAACAGGAGTCACTTCTGCACTAACGAACCTGAGAACACCTGAACTACCCTGCTAAAGCTCGGCGAACTTCTTAGAGCTTGAATTTACCGTATTTCCCGCCGTACACATCGCACCGCCCTAAAAGTCACATCAGTCCAAATTTGTCTAATAAAGTGGAAAAATCCATAAATACGTTGCTTCGCCGTATATGTCGCATCTATTATGCGTCACATTTGTTACGCGTCACCGCCGACAACCCAGACATGTGGGCCAGTGTTGTACCAAAAATCGATTGGCTGCCAAATGGCGGCCGTGGGAGCGTGCACGGGAGGACTTTAACAAGAATTTAACAAGATTAACACTTAAAAACAATTATCTGTTTGCTCGACTTTATAGTAAAGGTGTGTCTCAGTCAAACTTTTACTTAATAAATGCACTTTAATGGTCAGTTCAGCTGAATTTCGCCGGGGCGGTGCAGTGAAATGAAGTTGATTTGACGGTTGCTCCACGCAGACTATGGTGACAGACTGTGGCAAGCTGATTATATCATTAATAGCCACTTTTACCTATTACAGGACCCAATGGCATACCATACTACTCAAGTGCCATCGAGCAGCTGAAAATGGCAGTGTTCAATATTGTCAGTCAGAATGAATGAAAACGGTCAAATCGCAGCCAAAATTTGTTTATAAATATGGGAAAAACATCCATAAATACGTTGCTTTGGCATCAAGTCGCAGTGCATGCAAATTATGCAAAAAACCGCGACTTACAAAGCGAAAAATACGGTAGATGCATTTTCATGAGAAATCAGTTTATACAGTTCAGTTTATTCTTAAAATTTAAACCGTAAGCTCAATTAAGAAGCTCTAAGAACTGTAATATCTCAAACACTGATACGTTTAAAAAAACATTTTCAAGCTTTGGTCCGGTCACCACTTCAACTCGCTGTGTGTTGACTGATCTGGGTTACCTGGATGTGACGTGACAAGAAGGGTTCTGTGGTCCAGAGTCTGAACGGGCTTCTTGAAACCACACAAGGCCTCAACCAGCTGCAGCTCCATTGACATGAGCAGGTCTTCTCCTCGCCTGAAGACAACGACAACAACCGGGTCACCAAAAGAACGGAGGCTTTTCGTTTTTGTTCAGGTGTGTTGCGGATTAAAACACCTGGAGCACAGTTCACCTGGTGAAAAACCGATGCTCCTGCTGGTCGAGGACAATGATGATATCGCCTGGTTCCAGTCCAAGCTCCTGGTCTCCTTCACCGTGGAAAACGATCTTCTGCCCATCTTTCATTCCTGTCACAAGCAGGCGATGTATCTGTAACACCTGTTGTCAGACAGACTCGTCTTAACGCTCCGGTTCCACTCACCTTTGTCGATGTGGACCTCCAGGATCTTCTTCTGCCGCAGCATCTTGCGGCCCCCGCAGGTTTTGCAGCGGTCCTTCTGGTTGAGCCTCTGTCCTTGCCCCTGGCAGCTGTGGCACACTGTGGACACCTGCTGAACCATACCTGGAAGCAGCTGGTGCATGCGGACCTGCATTCCCGTGCCATGGCAGGACACGCACATCTGTAAAACTCCGGTGCGACTTCCAAGACCTGCCGGGGAAACAAACGGGTTTTTAACAGCTCTGCCCTGAACAGTTACAGTGGAAAGAAGGAAACGGCTCAATATGCACAGCTAAAACTTAAATATAGTTTTTGTAGGAAAACATGGCTGCCATGGCCAACACAGGGTGACCTTCAGCCACCCAGTCATTTGAGGATACTTTACTTTTACGTAATATAAAAACAGAAAGCGTAGTTTATGTGGTTGGTTTACATACATATGAAAAACAGCAACCAAGATGATGGTGGCCATGTTGGATTTTAACATGGTAACCCAATTTTAATAAGGACCTTTCTTATGCCTAGATGTAGCCACGCACCAAAAGTCGACACCTCACTTATTATTAGTTATCCAGCTCACAAGATGGATGAACGACGGGTATTTCCAACTCCCCTCTTCACTCCATGACGGGGGATAAAAAACACTTAAACCGAGCTTCAACACTGAAGTTCTTTGAAGCAACTTTGCTGATAAATTTGTCTTGTTCAATCTCGTCACGTGTTGCTTTGTGACTCAAACTAGACACCTGTCCTGATTTCAGTGTTCACATTGTGCTAACTGAGAACTTTGCAACCAGCAGCCTTTAATCGAACATCATTTACTCATTCTACATCCATCCCTCCCACCACTGCAAGTAGGAGCTGTGAGATACATGTTTTTCATCCTGCTCCAACAGGAACTCTCTGATGCAAACACAGTCAGTGTGATGTTTGGAGCAGCTAGCTCCAGTCCTTGTCCAATAATCCACCCGTCGACCCCAGTTACCCTCCAGCTCTGCAGAACAAACTGACTCTCAGAAACAGGAGAGGCCTGAACCATCTGAGTGATAACAGATCGGCTGGTTTTCATAAGTCTGCTGTCGAAAGGCTTTTTGAAAACATCCCTGTTGTCCGTGTGTGTGTGCGTGTCAGCTAAAGGTCAATCGTTGTGAAGACACACAGGTCAAAGTGAAGACGAACTGTATCCGTTAACCTCACGTCGACATCATCTAAGTGAACTTCAGAGGAACAGGCTGAACAATCTGAAAACTTTAGTTTTAATGAAAGAACTTCAGTGTTTTAGCAAATCACACCTAGCTTAGATTTAGCTGATCAGTCCAGATCATTTTTGTAGTAAAACTAACTCAACTTGTTTTTTTTCCTCCCAAATTATTTGCCATTTTTTAAAATGACATTTTATTAAAGAAAACATCAAGTTAACGCAAACTGTGGAAAACCACCGATCCGATTGAGATTGTAACAAACAGCTCAAGTAAAACGGTGATTCAGTGCCCGTGTGGTGTTTACACACAGTCTCTCCTTTAAACTGGTGATAAAAAACAAAGTAGTGTGAATATAATTCTTCCAACGAGAAGACTCAAAATGTATCGTGTCTACAAACAAATCCATCTCTTTTCATTCCTGAACAAACATTTTTAAAGCTCTTAAGCTGTAAAAAATGCAGAGCAGTGATTCTTCCTGCAGTTTTCGTTGTGGAAACAAAAATGTCAATTTACAGTTTTTCAAAAACTCGACTCCAAAAGTGTCAAAAGTTGAGTTAGCTGCAGCTTTTATTCTGTGAAACTTTGTTCTTCAGACGTGTAAAGACACATTTGCTTACTTAAAGGTTTTAAATGAACTGTTTAATGTTGCATGTATTAAAATTCAAGCCTCTCTTGTAAATGAGTCCCCGAGCCTCAATGGGATTAACCTGTATAAATACAGGTTGAATGAATGAATATTAGGAACGGCTGTATATTACTTGAGAAGTCAGAAACAGCTGGACTGACTGGCAGAAACATTCAAACATGAGCTGGTGACACTGATTTATTCCCAAACTGAAGCGTCCACAGTGTGAGGCTGCATGACACCTGCCTGGGACAATGAAACGAGCAGAGAATCACGTCCAGAAGACAAAACTGTTCCACAAACGCTTCAGAGGAGGGACAGCTGCAGTTTGAACAACAGGAACCGTGTGGCGCCCGAGTCAACGACATGAGACGCGAGGAATCTCTGCACTTTGTTTACAGGTTGGGGCTCCACGTTTGTGCACAGTGATCTTTTTTTTTTTATATCGACGCTGATCCTACAGGAGCCCAGAGAATGTGTGAGTGGAGATCCAGACACAAGAACCTGAACTCAAAATGCTCATGTGTACAAATGGCTTTGCAAACACAAAAAGAACGACGTACCTTCACATTTCTCACAGATGCAGTTCTTCTGGATGGCGAGTTTTCTTGTGGCTCCGTTGTACAGATCCTCTAAAGTCACAGTGATCTGATGAACAATATTCTTTGCTGCGTTGGAACAAAACACATACCAGTCAGACTAATCACTCGACTGATTTTCTAATAGGATAACTGCAATCATTTCATGTACTCTGAAAAAAAAAGAGGAATTATATTTAATTTCAGCTTTTGTGTCCTCTCTAAAATAAAATCCAGGGCGATTATTAGGTCCACTAAATCCAAGCATCACCAACATCATTTTGACTATTCTGTATAATTGTGTCTCAATGCTGTTGAACTTAATCAAATGCTTAATCTGTCCACTGGGGGGAAAAATAATAATTGAAATAAAAAAAATCAATGTAATGCCACTTTTAATGATGATATGTCACTTTATCTGTGCTGCTGATTATCCATGCTGCTGATCTCTTGCCTTTAAGTTGCTGTATTCATACCTTTCTGCTCACTACAGACTCATGTTCAGGCTGCTGTTTAATAAACCATATTATATTACATTATTAGTGTTTAGTGTATATCTTACATCCTTATATATCGTTTCTTTTTACACTTTATATTTTTGCTATTTTTGGTTGTAACTGGGACCTTGTGTACACATTTGTTCCACCTCATGTACCACATGTGATGTGAATGACAATAAAGAACCTTGAACAACAAAGACATCTTCTTTTTAAAAAAGTCCAACAATCATTCTAATAATGTGCCTGTGGTGTATTAGTATTAAAACATCTAATTTAAGGGGAAGCTGAGCGATCTATTTGCTTTAATAAACAGTACAAGACTAAATAATGAACAGATATTGAAACCATACGGAAGTGTTCATGGCTCATCTTGTTTTAGTTTATTTTAAGTTTTTCATCGAGAACGTTGGTGCTTCAGCTTCAGTCCTTCATGGTGTTAATCTAAATAACACCCTTTAAATTTATTTCACGTTCTCTTGCCGTCTTTATTTTACTTTTCATTTAGTTTCGATAAGATTTACATGAAAACAAAATCAAATGCTCTGGAGGGCGACTCTCATTCTCCAGTTCTTCTCAACACACCAAACCATGAAACTGCACCACAAATAAAACATCTATTAAAAATGTCTTTCGTTAATACTTGAGCAAAGTTTAGATAAAGTGTCCCCACTTCACTGAGCGATCCTCTTTGTCTGACTCGACAGCTGAGCGCCACAAACTGAGGGCCGTTAAACTCTTCAAGCTGCAGGTTACTTTAATAAAACATACTTAAAACTCTGTTTAGCCTAAACTAAAATAATTGAATTGTTTAGAAGACAAAATGTAAATTTGCTAAAAAAAAAAAAAAAAACCCCAAATGAAAATGTTTCCTGTCAAACCTGTGCTTGTTGCATAACTAAGCTGATAAATAATAACAATAATGCAGTTATTAATTAAACTGATTTAATAAGAAACTGAAAAGGACAAAACACTGTATTTAGTTTAAAAAACATGTTAGAAAATCATAAAGTTCACTTTAAAGCCAGACTGAGCAGCAGTTAGGATCGTCCGTGTGTATAAGCTGAAAGTGGTGAACGCACCACAGTATGTGACACCATGTGACCCCCCCCCCCCCCCCGAAATGTTCAACAATCTGTTACAGAAGTGAGAACATGGTGTCTTATAACAAGAAATATTTACTCCCTTTAGCCTCCTGCTGCCCTTGGGTCAAAGACACCTCAGGTCTCAGGGCCATGTACGGCGCCATGAGCCAAATTTAAAAACATCCTTACTTTAAACAAAAGCTGAAACTTTAACTCCGCCTGCCTCTCAACATCCAGCGTATCAGTTTCTCCTCATAACAACGTTCACGTTACATATTCAGCCACTCCATATGACAGTTTGTGCACATCTGATGCTTATTTTCCAACAGCGAACCTACCTTTCCGCTCTCTGTGCATTCGACTGCCTCCACCGAAAAACAAGTCAAAGATATCCATAGGTGAAGCAAAGCCTCCACCCCCACCACCGCTGGTGCCTCCTTCCTTTATGGCCTTCTCGCCTCCGCGGTCGTACAGCTCTCTCTTCTTGGCGTCGGACAGCACCTCATACGCCTGCGAGATCTGTTTGAACTTCAGGGAGAAACGTTTGAGCACATCTCTGGCAGCGCCGTCACGGTTCATAATAAAATACTCGTACCTTCTCTCCCTCGGCAGGATTTTTGTCAGGGTGATATTTTAAGGCCAGCTTGCGATAGGCCTTTTTCAGTTCATCGGGCGTCACAGTGGGTTTGACACCAAGCGTGTCGTAAAAACCCGTTTCCTTGACCATGCTTGAATTGGACAAGAAGCTGGAAAAACAAAAACAAAACAGTCAACATCTGAAATTTATCTAAAGCACAAAGTTTTCAACTTGATCCCAGTGGTGTCAAAATATTTTGGATCTCTACAATGAGTGCAGTGGTAAAAAGACATGTTGATATAATAAGAGAGATGAAGCACAGACTGAGTTCTGGTCCATTTCACTCCACATTTAACACCTGGTGATTTCCATGTTTACCTTGGACAAATCAATAGCAGCTACTGTGGGAACAAACCGTCCAAGTACAAACAAATAAAGTCAATAACAATCAAATGCAACTTCTCTTCATCGCTGAGACTTTCTTTCATAGATCAGCAAGTAGAGCCACAAATCTCACTTGATTAAAACAAAAAAAACTGTTCAAACTATTTGTTCATGCTTCACTCAGAGACGGTTTTCCCACCCACGGTATTTGACTTGGGGGGGCACGAAGACATTCAGGTCGGGGACAAACAGTCAGGTGGGGGACAAAGATAAGATAAGGTGTGTTTCTAACGACTACGTGGAGATTTGAAGCTTCCGGTGAATTAAAAACCCAACAAACACCGGCCTCCAGTTAGCTGAGCTGGGCCTAGCTACGCGAACAGGTGTTATACCGAAAAGTGTACCCCGTCATAGGAAGCGTACTTCGACAGTTGTTTACACGTCGACTCGAAGACAAACGAGACAGTATCACAATTATTTACAATTACTTACAAATATATATAACGATTTACATGTATGTAGAAGGTACCAGGTAAAGTCTAACCGTCGTTCCAAGCATATAAGAGTTGACAGTGGGATTTTTGTGTGTCTCTTTTAATTTCGGATCAAAAATGTCAAATACAGTTTTTGAATGTATAAAAAAAGTACAACTGTAAATTTGTCACTTCGGACTTTGATTCAATTTGTGACGAGAAAATGGTGATAGAGCTCCGCTTTACATGACTACGGTGCTTCAGCCAGCAGGGGTGCATTTTTCTGCACAACACGTGGTCGAAGCTACATTTAAGGCTGTTTTCCGGCCTCTGTCTTGAACCTGAAAAGATCGGTTTGGATAAAATGTCTATAATGTTCTAACCTTAAATGAAGACAACGATTATTATCCTTACAACGGTGGAGCTCACAGCGACTCTTTCTTCCAGAACCTTCTTAACCCGCGTTCCGTGCAGAGTGAAAGGCGCTGCTCTAGCCTATCTCAACCCTCCGGACCCGTGACGTTGTTTCCGTGCGACAACCTTTTTCGTCATCAAGCGTGGACTACCAGCTAAACTAGAAATCTTTCAAAAATTATGCTAAAATGCCAACTTGCTGGCTCATCAGCGAGGAGGGCAATCACAGACCCATCCAGCTGCCTCATTTACAGACAGTTGTTGTGGGTCGAGGCCCAGAAACGACGATTAAAGACAAAAAATGCTCCAGGCAGCAAGGTAACATCCGAACTTTTTTTATTTTTCATCCGAACTTTAGCTGTGGTAACAAGAACTAGCATTAGTAAAAACACATTAATTTGTAAGGTATTTAAAAACAACCGTTATCAAAAGAAAAACATGTTTTGTTAATTTTAATGGCATAGGGGGAGGGTTCCTGTGAAGCACAGAAAAGTATTATTTATTATAATATTTATCATTTATTTATTTATTACTATCATTTTACTGTATCATATTCATTCTTTTTGTATTTTTCATGTCAGATAAAAAACAAACAAGAATTGGATTTGCAAATTAACTCCCCATTTATTATTCTAAAAACACAATACATGCACATACAATCCAGGTCTCTTGTAAATGAGTCCTCGTGGCTCAATGGGACTAACCTGTTTAAATAAAGGTTGAATGAACATGTCTAAAATTGAAATGCTCAAACTATGTTCAAAGATTCAAGTTTCTTTGTCATACATGGTACATGTGGTGGAACGAAACACAGGGTCCCAGTTACATCCAACAACAGTAATAAGATCTAAGATATGAACTAAGAAAAATGTTAACTAAAAATACACTAAGCACTAATTGCATAAAAACAATAAAAACTATATGCCGAACAGCAGCACAAGCATGAGTCTGTGTGAGCAAATGAGTATGAATGAACACAGCACCATGAAACAGATCAGCAGCAACATGAAACAGATCAGCAGCAATATGAAACAGATCAGCAGCAACGCGATGTGATTCTTTTCACAGTGGTTATTCTGGTTAGAGATTCATGAGTCTAACAGCCTCAGGGTAGAAGCTGTTCCTTCACGTTGTTCACATGTTCTTTCACATTCATGGAAATCACAAGTTTATGTTTTTGGCAACATCTTTTATGGCACTTTTGTGTAGGGGGAAAAGGACAGTTAACAAAAATATTTAACAAATTTAATTAATTTTCAAAATGTTCTATATAAATTTGACCTGTGCTCGCAAAGACACCATCTAAAATAGCATCTACGGTAATCTTCCTAATCTACCTTTAAATTAAATTTTTTTTGCAGGTTTATTTTAAGAAATATATATTTTTGTCTTATAAACGTTATAATTTCCTTTTGAAATTGACTCTGCCAGCTGCTGTAGCGCCTGGAAATCCCTTCATGTAGTGTTTGGCATTGTTGTGAAGCTTGTGGGCTTCTCTTCTTTTAAACACGGACGGCTGGAATTCCTAGTGACATCAAACTAGACCAAATAAAAAATTTCCAATTCAATTCAGTTTATTTATATAGCTCCAAGTCACTACAGAAAAAAAAAACAAGTTTTTAAACCGGCTCTTTAAATAAAACTAACTTGTTTCCAAGTCGATCGCCAAATTCCAGACAAAGAATTAGAAAATAAGATTGACTTGTTATTGGAAAAAGTCCACATTGTCACTCATTTTGCCAGTGCAGGTCACATAAAGAGCATGCACTAAAAACATGTCAGTCAAAGCACGCCTGAGCTAACGGTGCTTTTTATTTTACTCTAAATGATAACAGTTTGCTATGATTAAGGCCACAATTCTGCTAAGAAATACATTTTTAAGTTGGAAGTGGTATATTTGAACCTAAACGTGTTGTTCCCTTCTTGCCAGTTTTACATATTATGTTTTGTAATTACATTTGATTTGTAACATGCAGATAATAAAGCCTGAAAACCTCAAACATTTCCGTTAGCTTTGGTGTAAATTTCAGAAATTTAAGATAAAAAATTGGCAAAAAAAGCGAACATTTAAGACTAAAAAAACGGAAGGAACTTTGAATGTAAACTGTTGGAATCCTGTTTATAAGGTTGTTTTAATTTTTCATGCTGAGTTTTCACAAAGATTATGATTTTTTAAAATGTTGTTGTTAGGCCTGTCGCAGTAAACAATAAATCAATTAATCGCACGATAAATGAAAATTATCGACCTCATTTTCATTTATCAGCTTTATCGTTTCTTCGTGTTTCTCTCTTTCTACTGAAGACGCTGGATGACAAAAGACTCAACTCCGGTGCTCTTCACTGACTCCTCCCTTTCTCTTTTCTCTTTAAAATCTGTTTTAACGATCCAAAATTGCGTTTTTGGATCATTAAAAGCAGCTAAGCTACGAGCTAAGCTACGAGCTAAGCTAACAGGCTGACCTCTCACCCAGCAATCTTTGTCATCATGCCAGGCCTAGTTGTTGTGACTTTATCCTTTGTAACCCTTAAAACAAATGTGTGCAGTGCCTTTTTTAAGTTTCAAAACTTTGCTGAAATAATTAAAAAGTACATTTTATGTCACATAATTTAATGAGCATATCATGATGGCTCTGTATACTCAGCTCTGTTAAAATGTTTAGTGTCACTAAGTTGTCAACATGCGCACATTTATTTTGTGCATCGTTTGTCTGATCTTTTAACTTGAACCTGCTGTTGTTATATGATGATATAAATCCTGATTATTTGTTTAGTCATTCTTCATTTTTCCTACTCATTTTGGTCTAGTGAATAAAATAAAGTATTAAAAACACACAAATACATTTAGTTTCAAATACAAACTTTAACCTGTCTGAACATTATCTCTTTTTGACCAGTTGAGCTGAGAGCTGAATGCAACAAAGGTTATGTCAAAGTTAAACAGGTAAGATACTCATTAATTTATTTTATAAATATATAAACCCCATTCCAAAACAGAAACATGGATAATGTGTAAATAACAATACATACCAAGTTCCTAATGTCCTTATTGGTATTGTCAGTATTTACTGGATGCATTGGACATATACGTGCTTGTTTTCAAATGACTTTTTAAAATTCTTCTAACTGTAAACCATTTCTTTGGCTTCTTTGCTCTAAAGCTGGGTCTGAATCCCACTTCTGTAGACTCTGTAGTGGTGGGTAAAGGCAGTGAGGTCAAAATAAAGCCTGGGCAGCACCTTCATGTTGTCAATCAGCTTTACCCATACACCGTACAGTTTAAAGAAGATCCCACAGGGAACCGCAGCGACACCAAAAGACCCAGGGATCCAATGTCAGAGGACAGGGTGAAAACAGTGAAACAGACAGAAAAGGACTCGTTGTCAGACGGTCATGGAGGAGCCACAAAAACCAATGTAAAAAGATTATAAAATGTTTATTTACTCCTGTTTGGATCACGAGTACTGCCTGCAGAAGAACTGATTTGCCTGGTATCTGTTGTAGGAAAGTGCTGGCCATTGGAGCCAAGGCCTGAAGACGTCGATGCACGACCCTAAGATGCAGGTAACCGTTTAATAAAGAAGGTTTACAATGACTGACGCTCACTCATGGCTTTATTAAGAAATTATTCTTTCAATATGATTTCTTAAGATTGCATAACACTGTCTCCAACGTTTCAGGTTTACAAAGATGATAAAGTTGTTGTAATTAAAGACAAATACCCTAAAGCTCGTTACCACTGGCTGGTCCTCCCGTGGCAGTCGATCCCCAGCCTGAAGGCGCTGCGCCCGGAGCACTGCGAGCTGCTGAAACACATGCAGCAGGTCGCACAGCGCATGGTGCAGCAGTGTCCAGACTGTGGCTCGCTGAGCTTCCGAACAGGTTACCACGCCATCCCGAGCCTCAGGTGAGCAGTTTTTATGTTTGTTTACATTTCTGCCAACGTTTGTCTTGTAAGGCAACTGTTCGTGTTCTTACTCTTAAAGAATTTAAACTTTAAGTTAAAGTGAAAAATATGTTTTTAACTAGAGAAACTGCATTTCCTGCAAAAATGCAATGTGAATGCGTATTGCAGAAGAATTTGCTCAAAAACAGCTGAAATTAGCTAAAAAAAAACATACTGAAAAGTAGCTGAAATGACAAGCAAGTGTAACAAGTGTAAATTGGCAGAATAAAGCAGGAAGAACCCTGGTAACCCCGCCTCGCACAGTGATGGCTGGACATGGGCACCAGTGACACCCCCACCCCCTCCCCACACATACACACACCCCACCACCCCGGTGTGACCCAAAAAGGAAGAAGAGGGTAAAGACGACGATGGATGGTATAAATTAGCAGAAATGAGCACCAAAATTAGGAAAGTAGCAAAAAAGAAGCTGAAATCAGAAAAAAAAAATAGCTGAAAAGGCAGAAACAAGCTTAAACTACCAGAAGGAAGCAGAAGGAACTGAAATTAGCTATAAAAAAAAATGTGGAGATAGCTAAAAAAGCTAAAATTAGCATAAAACAGCTAAATAATAGCTGAAACAGAAGAAAAAGCTGAAACTAGCAGATAAAAGCTGAAAAGAGCATAACAAGCTGAAATTAGCAGAAATAAGTTAATTAGGCTGAAAGTAGAATTACCATGAAAATCTTGAATTTAGCTAAAAAATGCTAAAAAGCTAGCTGACAGGACGAACAAAGAAATCAGAAAGAACACGTTTGCCCAGTTAGGCTTAAAAAAAAGCAAAAATAAGCACAAAAATTTGAAATTATCTAAAAAAACAAAAGCCAAAATTAGCAAAAGATAGCTGAAAAGTAGCTTAAAATGCAGAAAGATGCTTAAATAGCCAGAAGGAAGTGGAGAAAGAGCACATTTTTGCTGAATTAGGCTGAAAAAAGTTTAACTGAGTGCAAAATTTGTGGAATTAGCCGAAAAAGCAAAAATTAGCATAAAAACGGCTAAATAGCTGTAAGAGCAGAAAAAGTTGAAACTGCAGAAGTAAGCTGAAATTAGTAGAAAGAAGCTGAAAGGAGCACAAAATAGCTGAAAAAAGTTTGAATTCGCACAAGGACGCTGAAAGAAGCTGAAGCAGACCTACATGTGAAAGGAGCAGTAAAAGCTTGTAAACACATCTAAAGATCTGAAGGAAGGAAAATGAGCTCAATTCATTTTCTATCAGAAAAAAGTGTCAGAAAAGGCTAAATATTTCCAAAAAGCTAAAGCTGCACCAACACCAAAAGTCATAGCACCCTTCTCCTGAAAGAGCTGAATGTTTTGATATGATTTGTTGTAATAACACAACAATTGTGGAATGAGAAATATGTCGAAAAACATACGGAAGAAAATTGGATCACAATAGTGTGAATGCTTCATAAACATTCACACTATTGGGAACTATTTTCAGGTCATAGGCGATTTGGATTACTTGACCTTAACAAGTCATGGCCTCATTTCCATAATGTTTAAACAAACATTTGTTGTTTGTCTCCTTCGTACTTCGAGGTTTGTTCCAGTCCCACTAACATTTGTCTGGAAAACAGCAAAACTAAAACAATACAAATGTACACACAGTTCCAAATTATTTTTCAGTTAAGTACGTCTAAAGTAAGAGAAAAGTATGTTATTGTTTTACGTCAAGCAACAACCCCCAGAGAAAACACTGTAATGTGAATTCAAGTAATAATTCAAGTGTTGGGGAGTGAAAGAAATCTTTGTTTCCGCTCTCCTCCAGTCATCTTCACCTCCATGTGATCAGCCAGGACTTTGACTCTCCCTGTTTAAAGAACAAGAAGCACTGGAACTCCTTCACCACCGACTATTTCATGGACGCTCAGCGTAAAGACAACTTTTATTGTTGCTCTCCTAAATAAAATATGCAGTTTTTTACGTGGGTGCCTGCTTCAAAACACATCTGTGAATTTTCTTCCCGCAGACGTCATCCAGATGCTTGAAACGAGCGGAAAGGTCACGGTGGAAGACGGCAACGAGGAGCTGTTGAAGCGTCCGCTCCGCTGCCATCGTTGTCCCAAAGAGTGTCCCACCATGCCTGCGCTGAAGGAGCACCTCAGATCTCACTCCCACAAATAACCACGTCATCCTAAACCTCCGTTCTCACAGTTCCAACACTTTGTTAAAAGAGCCTTACAAGGATTCGGTTCCCGTTTGTTACAATATTTAGTTGCATTAAGAATGACCTTTTTATATTACCAGGTGCGCAGCAAATGTTTGGAGCTTTAGTTGAGTTTGTCCAAGAAACGTCAGCGTTGATCAAGATTTAATTCAATTTTTTTTTTCTTTTTAACATGTTTATCTGCTGCATCAAAGGTTTTACAAGAACATTTGAAATTAAATGTTTGTTAGCATTTCTCTCTGTTTATTTTAATTTTTTGAAACAAACTTATTCAAGAGGGTAAGTTAAATACAGGTGACTATATAATACATAGTGTTTTATAATAAGTATATAATAATAGCTATAAAACACTTAAACAAGATCATTCAGCGTGCATCATAATTGGTTAAATACAGCAGTATTTATACACAGTAAAATACTGCTGTATTTGGCCGTTCTGACAAAGACTATAACTTTCAAAAACATTCACAAGGATGAATGATGCTCTGTTAAAACTCCAACATACGCCATTAAAAACAAAAATGTTACATAGTCTGCAATTTGCCTTAGAAAATATTTAGTTTTCAATCAATCAAGCTTTATTTCTATTGCACATTTAAAAATAATTATTTTATTCTGGCACAATTTCCTGCCTGATCAAAAAAGTGATATCTTATTTCTAAGTTCTAATCATCAAAATTACAAGAAATAAAGGCTTGAAATATTTCACACTGTGGAATAAATATATGTAATATATGAGGTTCACTTTCTGAAATGACTGAAGAAAAATATATTTTTCACGATATTCTCATTTTGAGATCCACCTGTATTCTACATGACGTGTTGTCTTTAACATGTTTAAGACATGAAGCTTTGTCTCCATCTAGTGTTAAATTTGTATAATTATTGGGACAGACCATGTAAAAACGTTACTGTGACGTATCATTCATTTATGTGTACATTTATTAACTACACTGTGGTACTATTACAATGACTGGTTTAAAACAAATAGATTCAGCATCAGGTCAAAACAGTTTTATATAGGGTTTAAAAAAAAAAAAAAATAGTGTGTCTGTGGCCCGTACGGGGATCGAACCCGCGACCTTGGCGTTATTAGCACCACGCTCTAACCAACTGAGCTAACCGGCCATAACGGTGCATGGCTATAAAACTTATTATAATATAAAAAGATCAGCCATTTCTGGTTTATAGGCTTTTTATTTTGTTCTCAATTCTTTTTAGACGGAAATAAATCCGTGCAGATAAAGGTCCTACTTATGAATACACATCAAGATATGAATAGAAACATTTTAATTTTTTTTTTTTTTTTTTTTTACTTGCAACCTGTTTGACCTGCGGCTTGGGAATGTGACAGAAAATATAATGAGTAATGGTAAAAACATTCCCCTTTTTTTTACTGAGAAATTTTATTGAATAAATGACATTTATAAGGCAACCTCACTTTTTCTTTTCTTAATCATAATAAACTCTTACCAGTCTGTCTTACCAGTGTCCAATGCCTACACAAAAGGTAAGATAAAACTTTAGTGAACGTGAAGGAAATTGTTGAAAACATATACAGTATGCCTTCTCGTATCTCCTCCTGCATCTCACTTCGTCAGTGCAGCTACAGCGTGCACTCTCAAGACATGATTACCTGCAGTGTCCCCTGAGTGCAGACTGAATTTGGCAAAAGGTACAAAAGGGCCTTCTCTTACTCTGCTCCTAAAAGATCTGAAGTCGTGGACTATGACCTCTCTAATGGGATTTTAAACAAGTGTTAAGTTCATGGCAAAAAACAACGCAGACATATTCCTGACTTTAGTATTTTACTTTGTTTCATAATATATAGCTTGTTTTATTTTGTTTTATATCACTACTTTTATTTACTTTATATATATAATTTAACCTTTCTTTCACCAGGAAAATCCCATAGAGATTAAAAATTTCTTATTGTGTATTGTTGTCTGTACCTCATCTGTGGTTTTGTTTTAAACAGGTCTCTTTTGAAAATGAGTCCTCGTGACTCAGTGAGACAACCTGTATGAATAAAGGTTGAATGAATGTAGACTGGATGGGCAAACTCCCATTAACCCTCCAGGACCCTAGTGAGGGTAAAGAGCTGGTCCACGGCCAGGACAAAACCTGCATTGTTCCTCCTGAATCCAAAGTCAGACCATTAATTGGACTAGTTTATCTAGAACCCCTGGATAGACTTTTTCAGGGATGCTAAAGTGAGAGAGCACACCGTCCGGTTCTCCTTTCTAAAAAGGAGAACCACAGCTCCTGTATGTTCTCTCATTTGGACCTTTTTACCAGAAGGAGCTGCTTGCTGCAAGCTGACTCTCCTGTAAACTCTGCTTTGCACAGCTCTCCCCCTGCCAGCTGCAGCTTTGATCATTTCCAACGTGGAGCTGGAGGTTTTGTACTCAGTCACGCCTCGCTCTCTGCCACAGTACTAGTCCACATTGGTAGACCGCTTATTGAGACCACATTCTGGGACTGAGGACAAACTGGAGGTGCTCAGGTTGATGACATCAAGGGAACGGACAGGCCGGGCCACAGATCTCTCTCCTGCTCTGTGCCGACAGCCGCTCTGCAAAGAATAGCCCACTCCTCCTGCAGGGTCGGACCTTTATGCATCGTAAGACCCAACAACATCCAGAGCCTTGAGGAACTCTGGGCAGATCTCATAAAAGGTCCACAAAAGATAAATTCAGGAAAGTTACAAGTTTGTGAACAGAAGAGACGTCTCAACTGTGTTGCTGTTTTTCTATACATCACAGCTGGATCAATTCAAGAAAAGGAAGTGTAGACTGAAGAACTGAACATTTTTCTTCATTGAAATGTACAGTAACGTGACCCTCCAACTGGACACGCATAACATTTATTACTGCCTAAAATATATACAGTATGCACTGTTGTTGGGACAAAATATCATTAGTCAGTGAGTGGGCTGTTGATATTTATGTTACTGGACAATGTTATGTTATCTGAAACTTGCTCAAAAAAGTAAACTTGAAAAAGATTTTAAAATAATTCACCTTCACTTTACATGACTAAAACTGTAAAAAAAACCATGTGAAAACTACAATTTGCTTTCTTTGCTAATAACTTAAAGGATTAAAAGTGCCCACTTTTTGGCTATTTTGCATATTAAAACTTCACGTGTGGACCATAAACAACAGATTTACTTGCAAATAAGTGAACAGAACAATGATTTTATTTGACAACATTTATTAGACAAGTGCAAAGATTCAAAATCAGGATTTTCTCTGTCCTAACTTTTCCAGACTGTACAATCATAACAATGAGCATGTTTAATTATTTAATAACCCAAAAGCCCTGAATATAATGATTAGATCTGTATATATATTATTTTATATATTATCAAAGCAAAGTGGAAGCTTAGATTATATGACAGTAATTCTCACACCCAGCACAATGCTAACATTAATGATCAGAAGTGAGCATCTTTTAGCCTCCAAGGTGTTCATTAAACAATGATTATAAATGAAAACATGAACACATGAATATCATTATCTCCTCAGTCTGAGCTCGCCATCATCCTCATCGGGCACGTGCAAATCGCCCACTGAGAAGTGAGCATCGTCTCCTACGCTCTGCTGGAAGAGCTCCTCACTCTCACAGCTCTGCGTGCCGTTCACACAGTCCTTGGTATGGATCTGTTCCAAGCTGTTGCTGTCGTTACTGTCCTCCGTGCTCTCGCTGCTCGTGTCATTCTCATGACTCTCATGACTCTCATGACTCTCATGACTCTCATGACTCTCATGACTCTCGTGGCTTTCGTGGCTCTCACTGCTCTCGCTCTCGCTGCTGTTGCTGGTTGCTGCTGAAACATCCATACTGTTGCTGGTGGTGTCCAGCAGCGCCTGGTTGGTGCCACTCTTTGTCTTGTGGGTGACCAGGTGCTTTTTGCTCAGCTCATTGCTCCGGTCTTTAGAGTGACCTTTGACCTCTGTGCTAGTGTTGTCCTCTGCACTCACAGCTTGGACTACACTGGGGAACACGCTCACCCAGCTCTGCTGCAGGGAATCAAAGACAGCAGGACGTTACCAACCTTCATATTCAGCCAAAGCACAGTCAGGAGCGTTTTCATGGGTTTGTAATCTTTGTGTGTCGCACCAAAACTCAAAGCCATAACTGAGGTTTGTTTTGCAACCTCACACTGTGTCTCGTCAAGAACACAGTGTGAGATATGCTTTTTTTTAACCTCCTTTCCGAGTGTTGTCCCTTTTCCTTATTTAAACAAAAAGGGCAACACTTCACATGAGGCTGCAGCCTCGGGCATCTCCATCTACCCACGTTTGTTTTCTTTGCACGACTGTACTGAAATGTAATTTTGTTGTGCTTCTGTGCAATCACAATAAAGTTTGATTCTCATTCTGATTCTGAATTTCAGGATTTTTCCATTATGTTTAAAACAGGTTGCATCATATTTTTAGAAATGTCTTCTGACTCAGACCTTTGATTTTTTATTTTACTGTTTATTTGACTGAGATTAGCTCCGTCACCCCTCGATATTAAAGCTTGTCCTCTCCTGTTTCGAATTCATATTTAACTATCCTTGACAGGTTGCATAATGTGTTATTGCTCAGAGTATGTGCTGAGAAGGACTCTTAGCTACTACCACACCAAATTTTAGCTCAATATCAGTAAAAATGACTGGGTGATGGTTGTTTTTATGTTTGCTAAGATTGTGTAGAGCTGTGCTGATGCACCTCCAATCCTGAGAGTTTGATTAAAATCAGTCTATTGGGTATTGAAATATTTTGCTAACAAACAGATTATGCATAAAAGCTGTCTTGTCAGGGAGGCCATTGGGGGTGGGCAACAAATTTAAAGTATGGGCTCTTGCCCCCTGGCTTCCCTTTGGTTGTGCCCCTGATCGTATGTTTCAAATTGAGCAAGAATTCAAAAAGTTTGTCTCACCTTTCGGACGTTCTCCTGGCTGCCCATGCTGTCATCCTCGGTTTCAGGCCTGGAGTTCATCTGAGATGAGAAGGGAGCAATATGAGCCAAGAAACTTCAACAGCAATCATTCATACAAGAAAATATTTGAATTAAATTCCTCTTACCCCGTTTTCCTCATCTGATTGACTGTCACTCTCCTCGGAAGTCTATTTTTGGTAAATAAAGACCAGAAAAGTATGAAAAATTTTCTTTCTATGAATGTGTATTTTGTATATTTCTCCTCCAAACTTGAGAAACTGAATGTAACAGATGAAACGACGCACCTTGTCTTCTGAAGTAGTTTCTGCTGATTCAGACTCTGAACTCTAAACGTGAAAAAAGACACATTATAGCACAACGTTGGTTTGCTTCAGTCTGTGTGATCCAAGCGTTTGAAAACTAAATCTCACTCACTTGCTTTGAGATGCTTTCCTCAGAGCTCTGCATGACAAAGAGAAAAAAAGAATTATGAGATAAAAGCAGCACGCAGGGAGTTACAAACATCATGAAACACGTCTTACCTGGATCTCTGAGGTGTTGTTTTCAGCTGATTCTGAAACTGACAAAGACTCAGTCTGGAAAAGAAAAAAATTAAATAAATGAAACAGATTTAATGACATCTCATGATAGCAACACAAACAATGTCAGTTAAGACACATTCAAGTCAAGTCTGGCTCGGGCGAAACTCCTCTGCAGACAATCAATGTTGCAAACAATAATCTCTGCAGAGGGAATCGTCTGGAGGTCTGAACCACACCCAGGCCTCTGTCAGAGGAGTGAAGCTCCTCGCCCCCTCACATAAATCACTGAGCCGAATATTTCTGATGTCACTTACTGAGTTTGAATCAGGCTCACTTGATTCCAAGACACTATGGAAAACCTGTCAGGACGGAGCAGAGACCACGGTCATCACAAGAACACAACATCAAACATGATCATCAAGAACTAAAGTAGCTTCATTTAGTCCACGTTTTAAAGTAAAGACAGCAACAAGCAAAGCTTTTACACGTATTTTCCAGGAGTGTCTGGTGCATGGGGGTCCGCAAAAAAAATAAAAAAAATAAAAAATATATATATATATATACACACATATATATTACAAGCACATACATGTTAAACAACCTGTTAAAATACTCAAAAATGCATGAAATCACATCTACTTTATTAAAAGTATTCTGGGGGAGGATCTCCAGACCCCCCCACCCCAGCCTGCTATTTATACCCCATGTTTGAAAGTATAAAAATTGTATTGACACTATTAAAAAACAGATCTTAAGTATTTATGTTATACAAATATTTAAATTGCATTCAAGAGACAAACTGAAGAAAATTATTTAATAAACATGAGGGTTATGAGGGGGGCCCTGAACCCAAAAAGTTTGAGAACCCCTGATCTACAGAACTCCAACTTGTAAAAAGCTGAACTTTAAACTCATTTGATCTTTCTGAGTAAATATTATTAATAATAAACAATATTGCATTAAAATCATATACTTATTTGTCTTGGCAGCTGGTTTCATTTTCAACTTGTTTTAAAGTGTTTCATATTTACCGGGTTGGCTAAAGCGGCTCCGATCAGGCAAAACGTTATGATGAAGGCCTTCATTCTGCAACAGAACCATTGCTCCCATTAGTTCAGCCCATTCCAACTGTTCAGCAGCGAGCGAGCATCACAAAAACAGTCTCAAGCGTTCAGTCAGAAACTTTTTCATTTGAACTAGAACAAATCTTCTTCAGGAGAACACAAACATGAAGAATCCTGCTGAACAAATTAAAACTGCAGTCGCTCAAGCCAAACTGGTGCAGAGGTGCAGGTGACCGTGCACGATCGCTCACCTTGTTGTCACTGAGCTTCAGAGCCGGTGCAGAATGGAGAATCCAGAGTCTGGTCTGAGCTTCTGTGTGGATCCCAGCTGGGTGTGGATGTGCTGCACAGCTCTCCAGCCATTTATATGTAACCTCATTTAAGAGGATTGCATCACTTCCTTCCGGACGTCTCCCCTCTGGCCGACACACGAAGGTGCATTTGTCCCAGAAAGTGAGTTAAAAACAAACTGGCACGATGATGAACACACACACACACACACACACACACACACACACCCACACACACACACACACACACACACACACACACACACACACACACAC